TGTGCAGTCATGCTGACAACATGACCACAGAGTTGTCTTTGACAACACTAGCTCCCTTGACTTAGTAACAGAGATGAGCACTGCCCCCTGCAATCGGACATGACTAGACAATCTTGTCAAAGGGGAATACTTTTACCTTTATTACAAGCTAAGTATCCCTTATCTGAAATAATTGGGAACAAAAGTGTTCCATATTTCGGATTTTGGAATATCAGTATTTACAAATACATAATGAGACATAATGAGGCTGGAGAGAGACTGAGGATCTGTGAAATAGTGAGGATCCAAGCATAGTTCTTGACAAAAATACAACACCTGCCATTTTCCAACCTTGCAAATACAGTACAGGTGCATAGCTCAAGGATTTTGGAGTATTTTGGATTTCAGAATTCCAGATAAGGAATATGCAACCTTTACTAATCAGTGATGTAACAATTCTAACTTTTAGAAACCCCAATAGCATTAACACATTAAAATTTTAATTGACCTCAGTGCAGTAGTTTTAGAGCTAATGCATTAAAACTCTTCTCTAGCTTCCAGTTATTTATGCATGACAGAAGGCTGGTGTGGCATATAGCAACAAGCAGCATGGATCAGAGAGTTGTCACTGCAAAATCCACCTTAGCCATAAATTCTTATAAGAACTTTATGCAAGCCATTATGGTCTCTGGGGTCATCAGACATTGGTTTTTGGGGTTTTTTAGAAGAACGTTGTAAATGACCTCACTCACACATTCCAGGTTTGTTATTCACACTATGGAACTGCATCTATGCATATCTCTGGGAGTTCGGTCGCTCACAGATGCCAGCACTTGGAGTTCAGTTGCTCACATTGAGGTAGAGAAGTTTCAATAATCAATATATTTTAGCTACCTATGTTAGAATTGTAATCAAATTGTAGAAAAATATATGCCAAGTGGCCACACATAGAGGATTCTGGGAGTTAAGGCCTCTGAAAAGAAATGAAATGCTGGAAGGTTATAACAGCAGGAATGCAGGGATATTTATAGATAATTGCCCTTTTGAAGGCCCTGTGCATTAGGACGGCAGAGTGGCAGTCATAATAAATCATTGATAGGAAGCAAGACACTCTGTGCAAAGGGGCGCCATGGTACCATCTTTCTGCTAATAAGAGAGCATTGGAATGTGGTTAAGTAGATTATAATGTATTCTGAAATCTTTACTCCTATTGCTTGAGATTCTATATGTTTAAAGTTTGAAATATCCAATGAGGTGTAAGAAATCTATATGTTGGATTTCTTTGTTTGGGGGTGTATAAAATGAAGCCATTTTCTTCTGTTCAGGGCCCCAAAACTTTGGAATGCTAATTCCTTTTGGGACTGCCGGCATAATAAACCTGTGTTTACAAACTTACTTCCTCTCCTCTCTTACTCCTGCACTGCAAGGAACTAAAGTTGCTGGGGCTCATAGCTCACAGTCTGGTTTTTCCTATTACAACATGTGCCGGCATTTTTAGGGAGTCGATGACACAAATGTATTCAAAACACATTCAAGGCATGCAGAGTTTAATCCCAAATTATCCTGGGTCTATTCACATCAGTTATTTACACTGTGGACGATGCAAATCATTAAAAAAAAAACCTCAAGGGAAAAACTCGGTATCAGTTATCCTGGGTTAGGTGGGTTCTTTGATAGCCTCCCCAAAAAAACAATCAAGTAAATTCAGGATGCAACAGAGATTCAACCCAGATTCATCCTGGATTATTTTCACTCTCTGAATAGGGCCTTCAGTCTCGTGTCCTCAGCTACAGCGCTGACCTGCTGTATAGAGGACATGATTACAGAGATAATGTATTTAAAGTGCTATAAATTAATAACATGACAAATGCTATATGTTTATTAAAATATCCATGGGAGAGCCCAAATTATCCAAGGTCTGGGAACAGTGAAGATCTCCATTTTGCATTTGAATCCTATCAAATTGTTACCTCCTCGTACTTTCAATGTGGGCATATCTTTAAAAAGCATACTGCCTAAAGCTCAGGAGTTAAGGATTTATTGTTTACACTAAAATAAAAGCAATCCCACCCATGGAAGCAAGAGTGATACAGTTGATAACCAATAAGGCTTAACTTTTAGGAATGTTCCTCAATGGAAATCCAAAAGACTATACCTTGGAAGCATCTTTGCTTCAACAGCAAAAGAACGATAATTGGCTTTGGCTGCCAAAGCTTTAAGTGTTCTCAAAATAAATGTTCAACAGCATCAGTAACTATAAAGACTACTCATGGGTGCCAGTCTGAATGAATAAATACCAGTTATGCAGTTTCATACTGGCCTAGGATTTGCTCTCAGAGTGGTTGGGAGAACATGTTATTAAGCCAAAGAAAAGCTACAGCGCCTTTACACACCTCCCATCAGATCACAGTAACACCCTAGTGCCAATGCTGAGGTTTTCAGGAGAGCTTAAGGGAATTTCAGAAGTTTCACAGAATTTCTTGTGCTTAAGCTCTTTATCCTTGCTCCCTTTCTGACTCCACACCTCATGAAACACTCTTCCTTGGCTTATGCTCTTTCTTTTCATTGTTGCTCTCATTCAAGACACTTTACACAGCCTGCAGTAAAAATAGCATTGTACTATGGAAACAACGTACTCCCAAATGTCAGGAAATAAAGGTTACAACCTCCTAACTTTGTTGTGTATGTGGTCTCCTTTCCAGTGTGCTCTCAAAGATATTTGTCTCATACCGTACTTACAACAGACCTCCTCAAGTGTTACCATGTTTTCCTAAACACCAGAGCATGATAGAGCCAGAGCAGCCACTTCACTGTCACAGACTAAAAGTTAAGTACCCTAATACACTAAGCAGGGTCAACCCTGGTTAGTACTTGGGTAGGAGAGCATCAATGAATACCAGGTGCTGTAGGTTATTCTTCAGAGGGCAGAACTGGCAAAACTACTTCTGAGTATTCCTTGCCTAAAAAAACCCAATGAAATTCATGGGGTCACCATGACCATACATATATGGACCCTGGAAAATCAAGGATCTTAACTTGTGTAAAAGAAATACTTCAGGCAAACAGAAACTTATCTTCAGATGTAAGTCTTCTCCCACTCCTGCACTCAGGAAAATGTGGGAGATAATGTCTGAAAAGGGTTAACGACATTTAGAGCTTGGACGAGTTACTGTTTTGGACTACAACTGTCAGTGGGAATGTTGACTGGATGGCTGGGGGAATGGCAGCCCAAAAATTGTAATTTATTGTGAAGTCATAGGCTTTCATGGACGATATCTATAGTTTTTTGTGGGTTTTTCAGGCTGTGTGGCCATGTTCTAGAAGAGTTTCTTTCTTTTGTATTGTAATTTATTTTTTGACATGCTTTGCCCTTTATGTCCAGGTCAGAGGAGAGCATAGGTGACTTAGGCACCTGCATACAGTACAAACAGAAAATGTGTCAGTTGCTCATCTTCTACCACTGAGGATGCAGCTGGTTACCACTGAGAAATTAGTTCTTTCTTGGAATTAGGAACAAAAATTATCTAAGTTAGGAACTCTGGGTTCTTACAAAATGCAACTGCTGGTTTCCTAGTAAGTGTGTGCAGGAGGGAACACAAACACCCTTGAAACTGAATCTGTTAAAGGCTTCCTGTTGCTTGCCGGCCACAATCTAATGTGGTATGTCTTACTTGCAGAAATTTGAATGGCTCGAGTCCAGTGTGTCTTCCGAAGCATCTTTGCTCCTACAAACTCCTTTGTCACTAGAGGTTTTGGAGTAGTCCATGCTCATGTTAAGTCGCTGCTGATTCTTAACCCCAAGCTGTGGCACTTCCTTTATATAGAGTTCTGTCTAGCCACTGTGACTATGTTTAGCTAGCAACACATCTGGGATGGTTGAAATGTTATTTTTGCTACCAAGCATATATTCATATCATTTGGGTTTTACTTGTGCTTCAGATTTTTCTTCATTGCCTTTATGCTATTTGTTGTTGTTGTGTGCAAGTAATTTCTGATTTATGCCGACCCTAAGGCAAACCTATCACAGGGTTTTCTTGGCAAGATTTGTTCAGAAAGGGGTTGCCTTTGCCATTCTCTGAGGCTGAGAGAGTGTGACTTGCCCAAGGGCACCTAGTGGGTTTTCATGGCTGAGCAGGGATTTGAACCCCAGTCTTCTGAGCTACAGTCCAACACTCAAACCACTGTATCATGATGGCACTCCTTTATGATTTTACTTCATTCTAATTTTACCATGAGACACTTTGAAGGAATGTTCCTCTGAAAAAAGCACTTAAAACATTTTAAGCATTTTAAAAATAAAGGCTATGAGGTGGTTTGGTATTTCTGCCCTCCTCTAGTCTTCCAACATTTGGGGACAGCTTTATTTTGGGGTGAGGTGTGTGTCCATGACCACAGCAGAAAAGCCCCCAGCATATCTATAAAAGATTTGCATGCTGCCTGTTAGATCCTGGTCCAATTAAAGTATCAATTTTCTTTTAAGCTATAATGATTCTTAGATCTTCCTTATTGCTTTCATCTGCCAAGGCATTTCTTACACCAACTGCTGGCAGGAAATGAGAATCTATCTCAGGACGTTATCACATGGAGAATCGCGGGGAGAAAGTGGAAATAAATCGGACGAGTGGAAGACTTTAATTTATGAGATTTGTCCCGTTCTGCCTCGTCTGATAACTAAATTCGAATTTAAAAGGGGGTTAATTCGAACAAAAACCTGATCTTTTCATTTTCGGGATTTTTGAGGAAATGAAAAGATCAGGTTTTTGTTCGAACTAACCCCTTTTAAATTCAAATTTAGTTATCAGACGAGGCGGAACAGGACAAATCCCATAAATTAAAGTCTTCCGCTTGTCCAGTTTATTTCCATTTTCTCCCCGCAACTCCCTGTGTGATAACGTCCTCAGTCTTGATTGTTATGGTCAATGACCAGCATTCATGGGACTGCAACAGAGGGCAGGTATACAACATCAGTTATGGCAGACTTTTTGTGTGATTTCACTTTCCCTCCACCCCACTGCATATGAATATACGAAGCTGTCCAAGCAGGCAACAGATCGCTAAAGTAGTGAGCAGAATTATTATTAAGGTTCCCAGATCTCAGGGACTGGCCCCTTATCTCTAGTCCTCAAGGTAAAAATGAAGAGTTTCAGGGTGAGGGCACTACCCTGAAAAAAGTCTGTATCTGTTTTTTCTTCATTCATTTCTTCTATGAATGGGATACTCTGCTTAACTATGGTTAATCCTTAAGACATTGTGCCTAATGACATCATCATGAGCTGTCCCATGTAACATCACTAGGGCCCACTCCCTGTGACATCGCAAGGGATCTTAAGTTTTGATCCTGAAATCTCAGGCCCTGGGATATTCCCAGCCTGGCAACCCTAAGGACGTTATCACACGTGGGCCAGAAAGCGATAATAA